CGCTGGCACGCAGTTGGCAGCTTCAAGAGGTCTGCGTCGACTGTTGTAGTAGACGCGTCAGACCGTATCTAGAAGCAGTAGAAATGGTAAGAAATGAGTGGGTTGAGCCTAGTCTAATGTGACGGATCCAATTCCAGGCAATAGAGCAGTTTCTTATCACTAGGAGCGATCTAAATTACAAGAGACTAGGCTGGGAGGAGAGGAGAAGAAGGAAGGGAGCCAGGTCGCTAGCGAGGCGATTTATGCAAGTATTCTGCCGTACCTATACCTCACCGCTTTTCTCACCGCTCACGTGACGACAGGCAAGTTGAATCGTCACAGTAATTAGGTAACTACTCTGTACGGAGTTCGGAGTAACTTGGATTTTATTTATGCATGCATCTAGCATTAATCTTTCGGGCCTGAGGTATCTATTCTCCGGACCATTTTTCCTACGCATGCGGAGCCTTCTAACCAAGAGCAAGCTGCAGAATCAGAAACAGACACATTATATGTGATGGAAATATCCACTGGATTCATTCCAGAAGATTCTTTGGTTTGTTTTTGATGTTGTTGTCAAGTTCATTCTGAGGTTCTGACTTGTTCAACCATGTCAACACGTCCTGGAATGAAAATATCTATTGCAATTCTAGCGTCAGCGGTTATACTCAAAACTTGTCGCTTAAAAGACTGCTCGTATTTTCTACAAAAAAATGTGCAATTTAGCACTAATCGTAGAGATACTAAGAATAAGGCAAAATAAAAAAAAAGAAAGAAAGAAAAATTTCTACTTTTAGTCATTGCGGCTACAGAAGCTGCTTTTGCAATAGTTAAGAATAGGCAGTTTGGCGACACACTAAGTTGCCGGCCAAGAAAGTAGCAAACAATCTTATGAGTTAATTCTTATATATATGAAGTGCTTATTTGGGATTAAGCTTGGAAAGCAGCCAAGTTTGGCTCGACATAACCACACTCGTTTTCATCCCGGACTCGTTTTTTATTTTGAATTTTATCCACAGCTCACCATTCCGCATAGCCTCGAGCCCACTATCCACATTAACATGCGGCTGAGGCCAAGCAAGGCTCCGCAGTCTTGTTTGCTTGCTGCTCGAGTCTGCTTTTAGTATTGGCTGACGCCATCGAATCTTGGTCTTGTCAGCGTTTCCGTTCTATTCAGCTAGATGCGGGACACCTCGTATTTATTGCATGATGGCGTGGAATTATCCAAGCAATATCAGATTCTGTAGTTCGACAGTGCCAGTAGAAATTCTCGCCCAGCACATCAAGGATCTGTTTGAAATGTCGTGCTACCAGTGATAGTACTCTGTCAGCGAACCTGCTTGACTCGATTTGGCGTACTTTGGACAATCATGAAAGCCAAGGCGGAACATCACAGCTTTGCATATAATGCAAGAACCCGCTTGAATACAATTTTTGAGGAGGGGATACCAAAAAGTGATGGATGGGTGCCTACTCGTATATAAAACAAGCGTATGTCCGTATGAAGAAAAAAATCTTGTAACTGCAACTACGAACTTTTATTTTTCACTCGCTCTCATCGCAAATACCTTCCAAAATAAAGCTACAACAATATTTCCATCCTTTCATAGCAGTTTCGACGGCATACGATGCGCTGGTAGCAGGATTCACGAAAGGAACTTTCCACAGCTTGATTTCGGCACCAGCGAACCCATTCAGTGTCGCGGCGGGCAATCTTACTCTGGATCCGAGGGATGATTTGCTTGTTCCAAGACAGGGGGAGTGTCAAAGTTAGTATATATCTACTTTACTTATTCTCTGCCAAAGCTTTGCCAAAGAAAATGGACAATACTAATTGCCGTTTAGAAGCCTGTGGTAGCATATGCTGCCTGAGTCTCGACGACATTTGTGTAAGTGTTATCCACTAGTATACATAGATAGTCTCTTCCGCGCTAACTTGCTCCTCCATATTTATTAGTGTGGATCAGGCTGCTGTCCCACGGCAAGCACATGTGTCGACGAAACTTCTGGTTTCTGCTGCTTTGGTGGAAACGCCAGATGTGGCACGTCAAACTGCTACGACAGCAGTACGGAGATCTGGAACTGCCTGTCCCAAGTCAACGACTTGCTGCGGGATATACTGTTGTTCTGCAGATGAGTACTGTCACGACGGTGCTACCTGTGTCGCTGGGAGCAACAGTGCACCCGGTTTGGCAAATGGATTTGGTAAAAAGCTCTTGTTTATGAGCGTCTGTGTGGTCTTCCTGGGAAATGCAATGTAAATGAAGGTGGTCAGCAAGAATTGGCGACAGTAATGTATATGAGAGGAGTATGACTCAGCTGGACAAGGATGAAATCCTTAATCTCGTATTCAAAGGTGATCAGTCTGTGTTATTTGAAATACGAGCCCCGGCCAGGGCTAGCGAATTGTAGCACAGTAAACATCTCAGCCGCTCGATTAACTTTAGGATCTCATTCTCTGCCCTCAGGTGATGGATCTTATCACAGTTTTATTGTATTATAGATGCTCATGGAAGAATTCATTGCTCTTGCCGCCAGTTTATATCCAATGTTGTAAGAGAGTGTCGAGTTGGAACCTTTTTGATTTCGAGTCACGTTTAATAGTGCAGATCACATTCTTGATCTTTCACCCTAGTCTCTCACAAACCATTGACTGATAACCACTTGACCAGAGACATCTAGTACATGCGGCCATAGGGTGTGGAAAACAGGGCTTCCCGTCCGCTCAGCCGTACTTAAGCCACACGCCGCCTGGTTAGTAGTTGGGTGGGTGACTACCAGCGAATCCCAGGTGCTGCATGTTTTTTTTTTAGTCTTCAATCTGTCTCTCTTCCTGATTTTTCCTCCCATTCTGTAACCTATCTGACAAACCTTAGCTAGGCCTAGGAGAAGCTTTCTTCTTTGAGTGGGAGGTGCCCTTGACCATGATTTGAACAAAAGAATCAACAGCTCCAATGCAGTTCTCGTACTCAGCATCTTGGAATGATTTTGGATTCTTGGGAGAAGAGCAGGCTTCTTCGAGGATACGACTTGCTGCTCTTACCCTATAGTTCCCGTTCCCCTTTCGCGTTTATATCGGAAGACGAACAATCACTTGTTTGATCAACTACAGTATCAAATATAAGAAATATGAGATTTAAGTAAAATTAGGAAACCAAGTGGCCCTAAATACCCTACAGAGTAGCTATTTTCTGGAAGAAGCAGAATAATCCAGTAAAGATTGAGTCCTGCAGTGTATACTTCATAGCTTCCGCATAATAAGGCCAAATAAAAAAAATGAAAAGAAATTGATTTCCCCCATCTTCAGTATCTCGTCACAATAAAAATTGCATCATGAACTTCTTAATATGTTTAGAGCCAGTCTACGTATTTCTTGTTTAATTTTTGACAAGGTGGTTCCATATGCCGAGAACCCTGAACCCCGAAGATTAAAGAACCATGAGGCACATTTAAATCTTTCAATCCTAACCTAACCTCTTCTATCATGGGTATATATTTTTTAAGGCGTGCTTAAAAGTCATGACTAATGCAGGGTAGGAAACAGACTCCGATGGAGAGGGGCCCACGCCCGCACCCCGCATCTTCCATGTCATCCTAGGCCCGTCCGGACATCGGTTCTTTTGGTATAGATGCTAGAGCATGACACATGAACTCTCTCCTGCATGATCTGCGACTGACATTGTAAACTTTGCAAACCTCCTAGTCACGGTCATCACCTAGTGTGCTTCAAAATACGAGGTGGCACTTCAATCCGCTATGGCAATTCAACAAATTCAATTGTTTATTTATTGGACTACTCCAGGGGTTGATATTGGTTTGAGACGCAGGCAAGGCCGACTAGCGATTTAGGGTATCCAAGTCCGAGATATATAACTCTAATTCTGCACGAAATGGATAGGAGCCAATGTCCATGGTGACTGGCGCCCATGAACTGAATGCCTAATCCTGTTTTGGCTTTTTAAGCTTGAACCAGGTGATTGTCATGGTGGTTGAGAGTTGCTGCGGGGTGCAATCCCTGTCAGGATATCGCGATCTGTGAGTATATGTCCTCTCAGTCTGCTTGTAAGCTTCCGATCCCTGCTGAACGATTTGGTCCTCCAGAGCACAGAATGAAGGCTATACCATATTTTGGAATAATATTCGCCATTATACATTCTGTGGCTGAGGGACGGCTATTCTGCAGTCAACTGCACTCCTTCACCAGACTACGTCTCTAGTGCAATCCTTGTCGACTGTCCTCGGAGTCATTTCTTCTTGGGGACTAACCAAGCGAGGTGACTGGCAAAGAAGGATGTAATTTCCGCCGATCCCTTCAGAAAGGCTTTGCATGCTCAAGCTGTCAAGGATTTCTGCCCAATTTTGCTCCGGTCCTTCAGTGCGTTCTTTAAACTCTGGACCTGACATTGCCGAGGGAGGGCTTTTTGACGACGATGACCTGATAGAGAGGCGCTATTCGCCCTGGAGTGGCAACGATGCAAGCGGATTAGGATCGTCAATGCTTCTTGTCTCAGGATATGCATGTGAATCAATTGAAGAGTTTCCTGTCCCATGTACCCCGCGTTCAAAGAGGCAGCCACGCACGACTCTATCCAGGGTAGCGGCGACTAGAATGAGACATACCAAGAAGCCTTGACCGGATGGAGAATAATATAAAGAGTCATGAGATATAGTTCAGAATCCAGAGCGCATGCTCTGGTGGAGCATTATATTCGCAACATGGCGTCTACTGTGGACGATTTCAAAATCGCTGGCATTGCGGCCGGGTTTACCCTCGGCTTTGGCTTTCTCACCGTCTGGAAGGCTATCAAGCAGACAAGATCGATCAAAGTGCCTCATCGCAGCACCTACGTGTATCTCATCTGGGGAGAGGTGCTTTCGAACGTCTGTATCGGAATCGTGGGGTGGCTGTTTCTCGAAGGGATAATACCGGATGGGTACGGTCTCTTCAAACTGAACCCTTTAATGTCCACACAAATAGGATCATTGATTCTGTTCGTCAGATGCTGATCTATATTCATGTTACACAGCGTCCCCGTGTTGTTCTCGCTTTTGTTCTTCTGGGTCTTTGAGATCCAGCTGCTGATGCAGATCATCATCAATCGAATCTACGTCGTGGCCGAAAAGCAGGAAATAGTCACCAAGTTCAAGTGGATTACGGCTGGTGTCATCACTGCTATTAACATTGCTGTCTTCTGCATCTGGATTCCAGCTCATTTGAACCCGCCCGTCTCTCATCTCTACGTCGAAATCAACAAATACTGGGACCGAACGTCCAAAGTACTCATCTGCATTGTCGATGCTGCCCTGAACATCTGGTTCCTTCACATCGTCAAGCAGCGCTTGGTGCGATATCATGGCTTGAGGAAGTATGAGCCTCTGGTGCGATTTAATTCCCGTCTGATTGTTGTGTCCGTTTCCATGGATGTAAGTCTTCTGTGACAGTAGTCTCAACACTGCTAACGTGATGAAAGATCCTGCTCATCGGTCTGATGTCCCTGAGGAATTAGCTGGTGTATATACAGTTCCATCCTGTGACGTATATGGTCAAGCTGAACATCGAAATGACCATGGCGTCTCTTATTACCAAGATTGCCCGGGGGTCTGGCGTTGTAGATAGTCGTCCGCCGGTGCCTCGTCACTTTGGCCCAACCAACTATGGAATGAAAAGGAAACTAAACAAAGATATCGAACTACAAGTCCCGGATCAATCTAGCACTCACATCCATAAAGACACCACAGTTCGCGTCACAATCCAGAAGACGGCCAGCGGTGATACGGCGACGCAGGTCCCCCTTGAATCAGCCGAGGGTCAAGCGCCATGGCTCTACTGTTTCTCTCGACAGACCAACGATAGGCGTCTTCGTGAACAGATTCCTGTGAAGCATCCGCGTTAGAAAACGACCACAGATGACTATTTGACGCAAAGACGTGAATTTCTGTAACTTGTACGGGAGATCGAGGCTTTGTGGGATTGGCTGGTGGGTGTGGATCAAGGGACTACACGTGTTTCTGTTCATTGCGAAGTTTATATTTGTAGGGATTTTTTTTTAAATTACTATGATTCTACTATGCCTATATATAATGTGTATGTTTTTGCTATCTGTTCCTCCTTACGCCTGTTTCTGGTAGTAATGCTTCCTGGAGGCTGGGAATGCAATTGTATCAATTACAATGGTTTTTTGCTTGCATGTCCGCAGTAGTTGAATTCAAAGTGCCCGACGTCCCCGGGCGTGTGCTGGAATTTGTCCCGATCTATGATAGTCCTAGTGAAATAGCGACAATAATTATCTGAATATATAATCGAAAATTAAGGACAGGAGTGACCACCCAATTCACTAGCCAGATAGCTGCCCTGAGGCTTTTTTTATAACCTCATTATCAATATGTTCTTAATAACTATTCCAGCAATTGATGGTTTTAGATATTATTTCCTTTCGTCCTGCAGCCACATAACTTTGCCGACCTTCCCTCCATCCACGTCCAAAACATGACCCATGATACTGCCACTCAAGGCCTCACTAGCAAGGAATAAAATTCCCTTTGCAACAGCCTCCTGTGGCACAGGCTTGCCGCTGGTTGAGGTTGCTTGCGAGTCCTTCCAGAGCTGCAAGGGATCCTGCGCACACTCAATCCTGAACTGCGCTGTATCAACCGGCCCCGGGGCAATAGCATTGACCCGCGCATCAGGGAAGATCCGTGGAACGTCGGCCTTCAAACTGCGTAGCAGACCATACTGCACTGCGGCCTTGCCCGCCGAATAATCAGGATTTGACCGTTCACCATAGTGGCCCGATTCCGAGCCAACAATGATCAGCGACACATTCTTGGTGACACCCGGCACGGCGTGCGCTTTGATCTGGCGCAGCCAGGTTCGAGCTGTTAGAAATGCGCCCTCGACATTGACGCGAAGCGTGCGCCGGAATTGCTCAATGTCCATGTCGCAGATACTCTCGATGTGGGGGAGGACACTCAAGTCCAGCGAGGCCAGTGCAATGCAGCATGCAACAACGCCAAAGTGTGCTCGTGCGCGCTTGAAGCAGCCTTCCAGCTGCTCCGGAAGTGATGTCGCCAACATCTTTGTGAAGACGTGGGTGTTCGCCAAGGGCAGCAAGTTTTGTTGGATTAATATCCAATGCTGTGATGGTTGGCGCCAGCTGAGAGAAACGCTGCAACCGTCATGCTCCCTAGATTTTATCGTGAGTTATATATAAAGCGAAAATATATATTTACTCTTGACAGAATTGGTGCAGCATCACAGATGACTAGGATAATGACTACAGAACCTACCAATAAATCCACCGGCTCCCGTCACAAGGACATGGGTGCCTTCAAGGCCATACCCTACGTCAAAGAGTTCTACCATGGGGCGAGTGTAAAGTTTGTGTCGGATATATAGACTAGAATTACTCCGTACGTGAACAGTAAGAAAATAGTAATTGATGCGGGCAGAAGAGGAGTTCAACCCCTCCGCAGACTATTTATCAAATTTTGGCCTTTTTTAGCCGGATTTCGAAGGAGACTAATCTACTTGTGCAGAATTATATTTATTCAATTATCCAAGGTAAGCAGATTTGTGAGATCAAATTAGTATATCATCTCTATTTTTCCCTTGCGAATCAGCGAGCTGATAAAACAAATAGTCATAAGAAAGTGTACATATATGCTCCGGCATGTTTAGAGGAATGTACCTCGGTTACAGATTTCAAAGAAGTCATAACCGATAAGCAGTCATCGTTTTGACGATGTGGAGTAACTGTCTGGCGATAAACCTCGGCCAAAGAGCGATAAGGGGAAACTAGAAGAGATGCACCGATAAACGATTACCCAAATTGGCAGGCCATAAGCCTGATAAGGATGGTGCTATGCAATGGTAGCTGTTATTACTTGCCAATCCAGAACAAATCAATTCTGGCTGTAGATGAATTTTGGAAAAGAAAAGCTTAGTCAGTAGGTGATAGTAGATATGAAAGTTATGTGGTAATATTAATTTCAAGTTTTAGCGACATGTAGTAGCCATCACTACTTGTCCTTTGTTAGATAGATTTGTTGCCAATATATTCAGATTTAAAGCGACTATCCTACGGGCTATATATTACAGGACTGACTAACAATAAACCAAATAACTGCAGAACGCCCGGAGCGAAACTGTGTGCCTGGGATAGAGAAACATGCTTATCAGTAAGGGCCTAAGCTATGTATTTGTAAGGGGCTTATCTGCAAGCATCTTCTCTAATAAGTCGTCCTATTATCGTTTGCAAAGGACGGCGTCTTCAAAAAAAGGTTCAACCTTTATGACTGGACTTGATCTAAGCTTTCGTGTAACACTTCATTCTGCATTCTGAGATTGCGCTGGATGAGCATAGCCCGCGTGGCACTCTCGGCATCTTTGTCTAAACACGCTTATCGCAGTTCTCGACGCGTCCAACTCTGAGGAATTGAGGCCCGGCTGATTGATTAGCCTTTACACTATAACTGCACGTGGAGCAAAGAGCGCCTGGTTATTCAGCCTGCTGCTTACAGCATAGTCGAGGTAAGGACAGGCCAGTCATAATACAACAGATTCTATACGCATAACGCATTGGAGTGCTCTATCTTCGATATCCAACTTTACCTTCGCTGACAGCGTGTAGAATTGTCTCCAAGCAGTCAATGCGTTCGATCGACGCACCTGTGGATGTCCATACCCCAAAGCCAAAGATAGGATAGTGGGTAAAGAAATATAGAGAGACAGGTCTGGCGAAAGACAAGCAAGTATGACGGTCGAATTGACGCATGATTCTGCGGCACCGGTGCTCCATGATGTCGAGAGGACGGTGGTCGAGGACAACGATGCCCACAAGCTGCAGGCTCTGGGCCACCAGCAGGAACTGCGGCGGAACTTCTCAACGTACAGCATTGCTGCGACGGGGTTTGTAAATGGAAAGTAGGCATTACATGTTCTCTTCCCTCCATCGAACGCCGACTGATATGGTTTAAAACAGCGCATGGTCCGCCGTAGGAGGAAGCATCTTAGTGGCCATCTACAATGGCGGTGCGGCGGGGGTTCTTTATGAATTGTAGGTCCACCGGACATACGAAACATCGCACTGACAACCTAGAATCGTGGTCTCCCTCGCGTATGCGTTCATCACAGCCTCACTTGCCGAACTGTCCAGCTCTATTCCGTCATCCGGAGGAGGTGAGTGAATCTCCTCCATTATGGTGTTATCTCCGTCATGCTTTTTGATATGGAGGATTGTAATAAGTATCCTTGCAGTCTACCACTGGGCAACCGTTGTCGCAGGCCCCAAATACGGCCGGGTCATCGGCTTCTATGCCGGCTGGTTCAACTTCCTGGCCTGGGTGTTTGCTATCTCGTCAACGTGTGCAATCCTAGGCAACGCGCTGGTGCAGATGTATCTCGTCCGGCATCCTGAGGTAGAATGGAAGGCGTGGATGGTTTTCATTGCATTTCAGCTGCTCAACTGGATGGGTTGCTTAATTGTCTACTGCGGAAACCGATTCCTGCCTGTTCTGAATTTTATAGGCTCGTTCGCCGTCGTATCAGGCGTCTTCGTGTCCATCGTTGTGCTAGCAGTCATGCCCAAAGCCCACGCCAGCAGTGACTTTGTGTGGCGCACATTTGTGAACGGGACAGGATGGTCGAATAGAGGTCTCATCTTTGTCATGGGTCTGCTCAATGGAGGTGAGTATCAGCTCGTCGATGGTCTTCTTGCCAGCATTAGTAATGCTTCATCAGCGTTCTCGGTTGGCACCCCGGATTGCACCACCCATCTGGCAGAGGAAGTGCGCAGTCCAGAAGTTGCCATCCCCAAGGCGATGTTCTTCCAGCTCAGCCTGGGATTTGCGACGTAGGGTCTTGCCAGGGTATTCTCAACCGCGATGATGTTGACTGACCATTGCAGCGCCTTCGCCTATGATCGCTCTCTCGTATGCCATTGCGGACCTCAACAGCATCCTAAGCATTCAGTCCAGCTTTCCGTTGATTGCCATCTACTTACAGGCAACAGGATCGAATGCAGGAGCCATCGGTCTGACATTTATCGTCTTCCTGGCCTACTTCGTCGCGCTGCCGGACAATTTTATCGCCTCTGGCCGGACATTCTGGGCGCTGTCGCGAGACAATGCCACGCCATTCAGCTCCTATTTTGCACACGTCTCAAAGCGATGGCAAAACCCGGTCCGGGCCAACATGTTTTGTGCTCTGGTCACCACTGCCGTCGGTTGCATCTATGTCGGTAACACGACCGCGTTCAACGCCTTCGTGGGGTCATTTGTCGTCCTGACGACCATCTCGTACGGCATTACCATCGCTGCTCACCTGGCGACTGGCTGGAAGTTTGTATTGCCGGGGCCATTCCACCTTGGCCGCTGGGGATGGGGTATCAACCTTCTAGCGCTGGGGTACATAGTCGTCTCGGATGTCATCTTCTGCTTCCCTTTCGTGCAGCCAGTCGATGCGGCGAACATGAATTACGTCTCAGTGATTGTGGGAGGGTTCACCACCTTTGTGACAGTGTGGTGGTTTCTGCGCGCGCGACAGAACTATGAGGGTCCGGTTAGTTGTATTCTCTCCATAAGAACAGTCACTCGTCGGTGGAAATGCTGATAGTCTTCTCTATCAGAAATATATCCCCCAGATTATTGAGGGACAAGACCAGGAGGAGAGCTCGACTCCTCTGAGCGAGAGCAAAGAAGAGTCTGGTGCAGACAAGTCATAGAGAGTAATATCGTAGAGAGTAATATAAACAAAGGGGTATTCCGTTTTCAGTGTTTGCTCCGAGTGGCATACTGCCACTGAACTTCGGCATATACCGGGGTTAAATGACAAATACTCGAGAAATGACTGTTTTTCAGTGAAAAATTCAGTTCACTAGAGGGACTCACCGGCAAAACTCAGACTCATAAGCAAGGCTTATACGTAAGACACCTAAACAACTCTCACAACCACCATCTACAACAAACTCCCACAATCAACTCTGACTACAGTCAACTTTCATCACCCACCCATACAACCAGCTCTCAAACATCTCACTCCAACGTCCAACAAGATGGTATCCCTGGTCCATTTCGTCAGGAAGCTCAACAAAGACTTTCGTCGATTCTGCAAGCAATACCACAAATCGGCTAGGGACACAAGCAATGATCTCACGCATCTGATGGACGAGACTTATGCCATGACATGCGAGATATTGGAACTGATGAAGGCGATGTCTACCATGAAGAAAGACATGGCTCATATGATGGACGAGATAGCCGACCTGAATATGCATATGGCCCATCTCACTTCTGAACGTGCTGCCATATCAGAACGCGTCAAGTCTCCTGAGGAATTCCAGAAGACGGTGTTGGAGAACTCTAATCTGCCGAAGTAAGATGTCACACGGCTGGAGAAAAGCTATCACCCTCTGGTTGGTGAGCATGGAGAGTCTGATGACTACGATGAGACGAGCGATCGCAGTTGTTGATATGCTCGCCCTCTTGACCTCCCTCCGTCCTAATGTTGTGAACGTGCTACGTCGACGATCGCGATAACATCCAACTGCCGCAGAGGAGATGGAATTCTTGACCGATACTGCTGATATTTCTGGCTTTGGAATTTCTGCCGGTCTTAATGTCTGTCTCGAGTATGGAATTGCCCTCCTGTGCAGATTAGATATATGCGCATGCCAGGATGTCTATCGAGTGTGCTTTAACGGCATGTTCTCTATTCTACTTTTCCACTATGAAAATTTATAAATGTCCCAACAGATAAAGGACTAGGTCGTGACGGTGTCTTGTCTGCAAAGCATAGACTCAATAAACGAAATGAATTAACAACGACGTCCCCATTCGCGATTCGAATCATGAGATAATCTCCAAAAACACATGATGACCAACCAAACAGCTGCGCAGATATTAGAGCCCGAGGGAATACCAATTAATCAACCAACCAACAGGAGGAAGTACAGAGTGTTGGGTACATCCGTGTAATCAGATCAAGATGTAACTTTCCCTTTCAGTCTGAAAACAACAACATGAACACCAACCCCACGCGCCGAAGACTCTTCGCGTCTGATGACAATACTGTTATCAACACCTCTTAGATGTTTACGAAACAACGCTGTCCTAGACTGAAGCCGGAATAATTTTCAGGACGGGACCAATGTCAACACCAACCCTCATCACCGAGCTGGCAGCTGCCATTGCTCGTAACACTCAGATTGTCAACGACTACTTCAAGGCCAACAACATCCCCACGCCCTCATTCGACGTCGATGGACCAGCGACGGTGACGATTCCCCCTCACGAGAAGGAGGTGGCAGCCGCACATGCCCAAGTCATTGCTGACACGCAGGCGCTTCACAATCTCATGAAAGGGCCGACGGAGATGGTGATGGGGATTGCGGTATGAACTTGACGATTTCCTTTTTTTTTAAAAAAAAAAAGAAAAAAAAATTGCACTTCGTTGTATGGCTACTGACGTCAGAAGGCGATCAATCCAAACGACATTATCAGCTTGCAAGCGATGCTACGGTTCGACGTGGCGAAGAAATTCCCGCTGCATGAGAGAGTCTCGTTCGAGTATCTGTCTGCCAGCTGTGGCGTCAACGTCACCGATTTTCGACGCCTGATCCGGCATGCCATGACGAACCACATCTTCCGTGAAGACGAGGACGGCCTGGTGGCGCATACGGCGGCATCGAGGGTGTTGAGGGAGAACCGCTTGCTCAACAATATTGCGGGCATCATGACGGAAGAACTGTTCCCGGGGGCAGCTCAGGTATGAGTTATGCACAAGGCAATATACAGTATTTCGGCGTAGAAAGCTGACGATGATATTCTGACAGACCATCAATGCGTTGGTCAAGTACGACGGTTTTCATGTGCCAAACCAATCTGTGTGTATTGCCTCAAATATATTTCCTCTCCCCAGTAAAGGTTGATGCTGACTCTTGTAGGGCTTCAGTCTGGGCCACAATACCGACAAAGGCCTCTACGACGAGCTGCGACAGTATCCCGAACGAGCAGAACGCTTTGCAGGCGCCATGAGCGGCTTCGCAGCCCGAACTCCCATCGATCCTCTCGCCAAAGGATATAACCGGGCGCCTATCGTCAAGAAAAAAAGGGACAGTTGTCGATGTAGGTGGCGGCTGGGGACCCGTCAGTATCGGACTGGCGCGACACTTTCCCGAGATCAAATTCATCGTACAGGATCTGCCCGATGTCGTCGCCGACGGGCCTTCACACGTTCCTGAAGAACTTGCCGGACGCATCGAATTCATGGCAACCGACTTTTTGGAGACGGAGCAACCGGTCAAAGACGCAGACGTGTACTTCATGCGAGCGGTGCTGCACAACTGGCCGGACGAGTATTGTGTCCGGATTCTACGGAACTTGTTGCCAGGTGGGACGATACGACATGAGATTGATATGCTTGGTTGAGTAGTGCTGACATGGATATCTAGCTCTCAAAAAAGACGCCCACATCCTCCTGGTCAACGACTCCATCCTTTGGAAACCGTGGAGTCTTCCACCTTATGTGGAAAAGTTTCGACGGTGTGTAATGACGTCGTTCAATTTTCATAACTTCTTTTGAATGTATAGTCCTGGCTGATGGCGTAAAACAGGTCAATGGATCTCAACATGATGACTTTCTTCGGCTCGCGGGAACGAGCGCTTGACGAGTGGGAGAAGATCGTCCGGGAGGCAGATCCACGGTTGGAAATGCGAGTTTACGAGCTGAATCCAGGCTATGTGTTGGATATTTACTGGAGGACAGAGTAGCTTTGTCGATACGAGATGGGAATGCATAGTAATATAAATCTGGCACGGTCAAAAGAAAGCACCAGTCTGTGGATGAGATGTGTTGTGCTATTCTACGCAGGGAATTAACTAAAGCAGGATTTTATTTAATGATATCAAGCAGTCCAGATGTCAATCCGTTTATCAGATAGGCACAACAACAATAGTGAAGGATGGTTGACATTGCCATTTTAATTCGTACGGGACTACATTTACTTACCCTGAAAGCTATGATTGACGGGTCATTGATTGCTCAGCACTACGTAGTATGACAGAAATATGGCTATCCTATGGAAATCCCGGGTTTTACACTTAGTGAGACAGCTGTGGTTCAAAGAGCTATGTCTTCTTGCCAGGACATCAGTTGGGGATAATATTAACGCATAGCCGGCTCCAGATCTCATATGAGAGTAGTTTTACGAGTGTAAGTCATCAATCAGGTCTGTATTTGCTGTTTTAGAGGGCTGTCGTTCCAGTTAATGCTAATTGTTCTAACTTGAACGAGTCGTCTAGATATTGAATTCTGATCGAGAAACTGTCTTTTTGGATCCTAAATTAATAAACTTTTAAACCTATAATGAGTAACCGTGTATAGATTGGAACCAACCTGCTGTGCTATAGTGCAGCACGACCTGAATCCTCATGCAATGGCACCGGCGGTCTTAGGGTGACCCGACACATTCAAGCTTGCGCCACGATCTGCATGGCGCTTACCATCCCCGAGCTTAGCAGACTTTAATTCTCAGCTATGACACAATAGACGTCAGAAATCTAGGGCAGAGACTGCGGAGAATAGGCCAGTGTGGGGATGAAACGAGGAAGTTCTTGCATGGGGGAATCCCCAATATTCGAATCACAATCATTCATTCATCCTCTCTGTCCCAACCGAGAGCCGGGAATATCCACATGGCGCATTCTCCGGTATTGATTCTCCGTTCATTTCCATCTCTGGCCGGAAGTAACATACCTATCTAGGTAGCTAATGTCTCACTTGTCAGTTTCAGTTTCTTACCCTGAAATTCTGGTCTTGAATAAGCCCTACGATGATGGACCATTGTCTGGCGATCATTTGCCGTGTGAGGGCAGGATGCATCTTCTCCATCGCGTTTCCTCCATGCTAGTAATCTTTCCCCGCAAAGTCTCCTCACTGAGCTCAGAATATGCGGACTTCAGGCCGATCTGCCAGGATAGCCGGAGATGTTAAGAATAGATGTCGAATGTGTTCGAAAGACTCAAAGAAATCGGAGACTGAGTCAAACGGAATGGGATGCGCAAGCCTAGCATTATCCGACAAATGTGCGGACTGATAACCAAGGATCTCTAAAGTCTTTGAAATACCTGCCGAGACACATTGATTACTGCTGGATTTACTTTGCTTCTGTCTTAACTTCCTCGTTCGTCATCGCCTCGGAATATCACCATTTACCTTCAAGGCAAAAGTTCGATGGTGGGTGTCACTGCTGCATGCAGCATTGGGTTCCTGCTCTTTTGCTGTAAGTTCTATACTGTCAAGCTGTTAAAACCAATCTCTAACTCTGGCAGATGACCAGGGCGTCATGGGCGGGGTCATCGGCTCGTCGACCTTCATCGAGCAGTTCTACAACCCAAACGTCAGCAATTGAAGATGTGCTCATCTCAGACGATATAGCATGCTAATCAAGACATAACAGGCTGTTCTGCAGGGACTGATCACAGGCCTGTACGATCTTGGCTGCCTGATCGGGTCCATCGCAACGTTCATCTTTTCGGAACCCATTGGGAGAAAGAAATCGATGGTAATGCAAATCATGACATAAGAATCAGGCAGTCTCTTACGGATCATAGTATATCGGCATTGGCATTGTGCTGGTTGGGACAATCCTCCAGGTCACCGCGACGACAGTGCCACAACTTATCGTTGGCAGAATCGTGTATGGAATCGGAGTTGAGATAGACATGGCAATTATTCCCACCGTAAGACCTTCGAATCGATGAATCACTGGCATTCACTTACTGCTCTGCA